TAGAAACATCGATGAGAGAGAAACATCGATCGGCTGCCTCCTGCACATCTCCCACTGGGGATGTGCCCGCAAACCAGGTACATGCCCTTCACCAGAATCGAACCTGGGACCTCTCAGTCCGCAGGCCGACGCTCTATCCACTGAGCCAAACCGGTTTCGGCCCCGAGTGCTTCTTGACTCAGGACTGCCCCCTCCTCTGAGAACCTGGGTGATTTCTTACACTGCCTGAGCCTCCTGTTTTTTGTTGTCTCCATAGCCCAGCCTGCAGCCAGAAAAGTTCCTTTAGAAACTTCTAGCCCTTGCACCAATGAGTTGGAGTCTGTTCAGCTAAGGCCTGGCAGTCCTCTTTGTCCCCTTGCCTTCTGCCTGTCTCAGCTTCCCAGAAGCCCCCTGTCCCAGCCCCTGACAGCACAATGACTTTCTCCCTATTGTCCTAGAAAGCTGCTTTCTCTGGACTAGCTTTTCTGTCAGCCTTATGTCATACACAGATAGCCTTGTAAGATAGGAGCGCCCCCACTGTTATCCACAAGCCGCATCACCTGAAGGAAAGGCCTCATCAACTGTGGAGGTGGGGCTGGGCTGACTCTAGGGTGGAGGGACAGACCTGGAGCTTGCGCCTCACCGCTATGCCCTTGCTGATTCAAGGGGAGCACAGACCCTTATCCCTGCGTTTGTAGCTCTGGGAAGCCAAAGAAGACCCTTGTGGGGTCCCCTGAGGCCCCCTGTGTGCATGCAGTCATAGCAGACCCATGTGGCCCTGAGTGAACAGACTGAGCCCCTCTCTAGATGGCTGAGAACCCACACTCTGGGTCAAAGTTCTGACAGTTGACACAGGGAAGGGGCTGAGGAAGCAAAGAAAATCTAGAGATCAAAGTTCAGGGTTCATCTGGGCTTTGGGCAGCCAAGCCCAAAGAATACTATGATGTTGAAGATTCACAGCCCTTTTTTTCATCTGTTTGTTCACTCACCTATCTACCAAACAGCTACTGAGCCTCACCTGTGCAGGGCACTGCCAAGCATTATAGTGTTTATGGTAGCAGATACTTCTCCTTGCCAGCCGTGGGGCAAGGATTTGTCATTAATTGCAGCAGGAAGCCGAACTAAATGTGTATAGGAGTACGTGGCATTCAGCAACAAGTGATTCTTGCCAGTGTATTTGACTGTTGAAGCAGTTAGGCTAAGTACATCTCAGGGAAGAGCTTCTGCCCTGTGGGCACAGACGCTGTATCTTTTTCCTTCTAGCCAACTCATAGGCAAGAACATTTAGTTCTATGTAAGAACATTTAGAACCTATTTCCTATAACCAAGAAGCAGCACCAATTACATACTACATACAAGAGACACACTTCTCTCTCTTAAAAATTTTAGCAACTCTATTGAGGTATAAGTGACATAAACTGTACGTAGCTAAGTGTGGAATATGAAAACTTTCATGCAAATGAAAGGCTGATTTCTTACCAGGAAGGATAGCAAGTCTAGGCCCCATGCCGGGATCGCTCCCAGGTTTTTTCAGGTTGGGTCCTCAGACACCCCCCTTTCACAGCTCCTCCGGCAGAAGGCTCACGATCTTAGACTCAGGACCTGAATCTTAAATCCACACCTTTAGTCCTACCATTGATACCAGT